TAAAGAAAAAGGTATACAAATGACATAATTCAAAAGAGATTATATGATGAAAATTATGGAGTTCGATCCAACTAACATATAGAGGGGGTGAATAGGTATTTACGCGAAATTTAAACAAATTAATTAATAATTGCAACAAGTCATTGTTATTAATTAATCTAGATAAATTCACATGTAATCTACCTTATGTTAATTGCCGCAGTATAATAAATTGCTGAAAAATAAATAACACATGATATTTGATGACGAGATTAAAAACTCTGGGCCCAAACTAGTATGAATTCATTAAAAACAGATCAACTTACAGTACTGCTAAACTTGACCAATACAAATACTTTTTGACCTCTTGGCTGTAATTCCCAAAGCCCTCCTGGATTGCGTACTCCTACTCCAACTCTCGACTTTATGATTTTGTCTATCTTGAGAATACCTTGTTCTCCAACAACCGAAACTCTGATCACCTTCCTTAATCTTTAACCTTCAATAGATACTCTGTAAGTACGGGTATTTGGTATTTGATTGATGGGTTTTGATGTTTCTCAATTGCAAGTCTCAAGAATCAATGGATTGAACAATGAGGAATAGCATAGGTGTTTTCTCATAATGCTCAATCAAAGGTTTTTCGTGAAAATGGACGCATGTATTTTATATAATAGAGGTTTTGGGTAGTATGGTCCTATTAAAATTCTCGAGAATCGCAAATTAGGGTTTTCTAGTAAACACTGTCGTTCGAGCGACAACCCAGTGAAAAGCAAGCGACGGTGTTTCACTCGAACGACATCGTAGCGATAAGCTAGCAACTTTTTCCCATTCTGTTTTTGTTGCTCAAGCAGTGTGTTGACAAGAGGTAAACGAAATTACGATGGCTCTTCTTTCCTTATTCCGAGCTTGAACCCTAACCCATCTAACACAACTATACAAAATTGCACCTAACTTCTTGACTTTTAAATATTTTCAATTTGATCCTTTTTGTTCATAGAATCACTAATTATGCACTCGTTTAGCCCCCATTTTCTAGAAGAAAATGAAAATGGGTAGAATATTATTTTTTTGGAAAATGAGTAGTTGAAAAAGAAGGAAAATTTTTCGATTTACGTGTAATACTAATTTATGGAAGATTGTGTGGTTAAAATTAGAATAGAGAAAAATAGAATGTAATATAATAAAATTTAATGGGGCCAAATGGGGGCTACATTAAACCTAATATATGATTCCTTAGTCCTGTTTGACAATCATTATTTGGAAAAACACGAGTTTTGAACATTAATTTTAAAAGAACGTATGGTTAAATAATAGAAAAAATTTTGAATTTTAGTAGAAAATATTTTATTGTGTGAATTTATAATTAAAAATTAATATTTAAAAATTTTGAAAATAAAGTTGTCAAACATAACTTTCAGAACAAATTTTTTTTCGAGTTAATTGTTCCAATGGTCACTGAACTTAGGTCAATATTTTTGATTGGCCACTGAACTTTAAATTTGATCACTGAATTTTGAAAAATGTCAAGTTTTGGTCACTGATCTTAGGTCTATATCTTTGATTGGTCATTAAAGTTTAAAATGTCGAGTTTTGATCACTGAACTTAGATCAACATATTCGATTGTTCACTGAACTTAGGTTCATGTCTTAGATTGCTCACTGAATTTTAAAATGTCGAGTTTTGACCATTGAATTTTAGAATATGTCTTACGTTATAACTGTTGAACTTTGAAAAATATCGAGTTTACAGTGAATAATGTACAACATTTTTTCAAAGTTCTGTGTGTAGTGTACTATATTTTTCAAAGTTCAGTGAGTAATGTACAATATTTTTCAAAAATCTGTGGTCAAAACTCGATATTTTAAATTTCAGTAAACAATCGAAAACATAGACCTAAATTCAATGACTAAAACTTGACATTTTTCAAAGTTCAGTAACCAAAACTCAACATTTTAAATTTTAGTGGTCAATCAAAGATATGGACCTAAGTTCAGTATTCAAAACTCGATATTTTAAAATTCAGTGATCAATAAAAAATATGGATCTAAATTCAGTGATAATTGAAACAATTAACTCAATCCTTTCCACTGACTCCAGGTATCTTGCACGCTACCCAAATGATACTAAACGACGGGAAAGTCCCATGCTTTGACGCCCCACCATATCACACAACACGATGCATCACAAAATACGATGCACACCAGACAAATCGAGGTCACCTAACACCCTTCATAAATAATAAAATTATCTTTTATTCATTTAGGCTTAACTTATGTCAAGAACGAATTAGCCTATATTACATCAATCTATTAATAAAAATAAATTTATAAAAGAGTATATTAGTGTGTCATATGATCCACGATATTTGGTAGGTCATTAATAAAAAAATATAAATTAATCATCTAATAGTTTTAAATTTATATTATATAAGGTTGTTTGATAAAGATTTTAATAAAAATATTAGCAAATTATGCAAAGAATTAATGAAAACAGCTAAATTAGTCATATAGTTCAATTTTTTGTTGAGTCCGTCACAGTCATACTTAAATTAATGTTCTATTACCAATATTTTTAAGAAGCATTATTCCATTTTTTAAATTATCTCAAACAAGCAGTAAGATTTGATATGACATAACGATAAGATCAAATCATAATAAATTGTTAAATAGAGCATAAATCCCAAGAGAGAAACAATATTTAAACATTGTGAATTCTTTTTAGCATTATTGTAAAAAACATGTGGTTAGGTAGTCTTAAAATAATAGGAAATATTAAAAATGGGTTTCAACCTAATGAAAATGAATTTTTAAAAATTAAGTTTTTCTTGAATTATTTCAATTGCATTCTTCAAACAAATGATTTTCTCCCAAAAATTGCGCCAAACAAGCTTTAAATTTATTGTCTGATATTTTGGAAGCCTCGATTCCGGCCATTTCATCCTTTTGACTAATTAAAAATTAAATATTTATTATAAGTTCAATGTTACTATTATGTCTGGCAACAATTAGTCCATGTTTGGTTCAATTAAAAAGTTAATGAAAATTTAAGTTAAAGTCAACAAGTATTTTAATTATATATTTTATGATATTCACGACATTTCAACCATATATTTCATCAAGTTTTAACAAAATTTACCCAAATTTTTTTTTTGATTTTTTGATCTAAACCAAATAGGGGCTTAAATAATTAACGAAAAGGTTAATAAAATAAAAGATAATGGTCGATGAACTATGTATTTTTTTTATTGAATTAAAGATAATAAAATAATTATATTTTTAGTTAAACTTGATTTTTATTTATCTATTTTTAATTAAGATAAAGGTAAAATTGTCCATTTTTGAGTTGAGTGACACAAAAATAAAAGATTGGAGATTGCTATAGTTAAAATTCTAAGTTGATGATGACATACTTGCTACTAAAACTATAATTTTCCCTAAATTGGATCAATTATAAATTTTTCAAGAAAGGTTAAATAATATAATAATGAATAGTTAGAATATGAAAAATTAATAATTTTATTCAATATATGGTTGGACATGTTTAGCCCTATACAAATTAAAATTTGAATTTTTATCAAAATCAAAGTGAACAATTAATTGTGATAACATCTTTTATGGATTTCACAACTTTACAATCATATATTTCATCAATTTTTATCACGACATGCTAAAAATTTGATTTTAATCTTGACCAAACAAAGACTTAGTATTGTATCTTTGTCTTACGTAATAATTATGATATTACAAGAAAAATTAACAGCATAGGACAATACTAATTTTAAAAATTAAAAATTAGCATTTGTATTATTAGTTCCATTTAAGAGAACAATCACGCTGAATCATTTTACTTACATTAATGGTGTTACAACGACCAAACAGGCGACACAATGTTACATGCTCAATTAAAGATAGAATTGTGTAATTTATATAATTATCTCTCATTTCATATTATTTAGACCATGTTTGACAACTATTAAAATAAATTTTTTTTTCTCAAACTCATTTTTTAACTACACATTTTCACAATAAAATATTTTACATGTAAATTTAAAAAAAAATCCTACTTTTTAATCACATATTTTTCAAAAAAAATCATTATTTAAAAACTCATTTTCCCCCAAAAAAAAAAAAGAAAAAAAACTCATTTTAATGTCATGTAGATTAATTTGTAATTCCATTAATGTTAAATAGTATTACTAGTCTGTAATATATTAAAATATCATATTAAGGGAGAATCATTTTTTCAAAAATTATAATCCTCTACAATTCAATTATTTCAATAATATCTTATTTTTCATTTTTCAATATGTAATAAATACTACATAATTATTGTCATTTGTGAAATTTGTGTAATTAATTCTCAATTAATTAAAATTTATATTAACCTAAATTCAATAAAATTTCACTTGATAAATATTCATATTCATGTATCTAGAAATTTTAATGAGTGTTTAAATTTATGTATTAACAATTATTTTTTATGTAATAAATGTAATATAAAAAGATTGCTCATTTATAGTATTCCAAAAAAATTAAAAAAATAAATTGTATAATGGAAATTGAGTTTTGAGAGTACAATTTGAATCCAATTTTCTTATAAATTTTATTTTTATTAATTCATCTTAAACTCATCAAATCCTCTAACAAATTGGTATCAAATATTACTTTTACATCACATATAAAGTATTTTAGAATCACGTTTGACTAGTATGTAAAAAGGTATTCAAAATATTAAAAACATCCGGCCTTCTCATAAACAATAAAGTTCATATCCTTTTTGACTCTCTTAAATTAAATATTTATGGGTCATTTGACAAAGTTCTTAATAAAAATTTAGCAAATTTTGATAAAAATCGATGTATTGCATGTGGTTAAAAAAGTGATAAAATTATAGATATCATGGAATGGGTGATAAGAGTTAAAGTTTACAAAATTTTAACAAAACATTTTCTCACTATTATTATTTAATTCTATCAAATACTACATGAGGTACACCTTATCAATTTTGTCTATTCCCATTACATTAAAGCAACACTTCAAACATTATATATAGCATACATTATGGCACCCCCCAATTTGCATCTCTCTCATTACCTTACTTATAGTTTACACACAATAGAGAGAGAGCGCTTGCTAATGGAATCCTCCATCAGGTTTTTTAGAGTGGGCTTCCTTCTGCTATCACTTGTCATGACAACTGGTTTGAACTTTCTTTACCATTAACTTCTTTAGTGTGTATATATATATTTATCGATCAAATTCAAATATAAAAGTTAAAAACTGCAATTTTATCGTTCTTTTGTAGGCTAATATACATATATTTCTTAACCTAATTGCAGCAGAAAGTAGGCCAGATTGCTATAACGATGTATGCACTACTGAGTGCACAAAAAAAGTGGGTTATACTGTTAACGGGTGTTGCTCTAATGACGAATGTTTCTGCATTTGTGCCAATACTGATTGTTCAGAGGTTTTTCCCCCAGCAGGTGAAACCCTAGTCACTTTTACTCTCTTCGTTGTTTATTTTTTTTCCCTCTCTAAGTCCCCAGTGTTTTTGTTTAAGCCTCCGTTAGGCAAATTTATAAATATTTTACAAAGAGGAAGAGTAGTGAGTCTTGTGAAATGTGTTAATAATAATTAGTAATTATAAATTTGTTGTTAAAATCAAAATTAATTTTAACTCAACTTATAATTGAACATAATATATATATATATATATATATATATATATTTGGCTCCTTGGCTTGTAGATCTTGACGTGTTTCACGCCTCTCTCTTAAAATAATGTTTTTAGGGTGACGCTATATATATATATATATATAAATATTAATATATATATATATATATATGTGTGTGTGTGTGTGTGTGTGTGTGTGTGTGCGCGCGCGCCAGGGGCGAATCTAGGAGTTTGAATCAGCATGGACGGTCATTGACCATCTACCATGGGCCGCAATAACATATTAAAAGTTCATTTGATATCCATTTTTTGTAAAAAATTGCATTTTGTAATAGTGAGTTGATGGAAAATGAATGGTTGAAAACAAATAAAAGTTTTAAATTTGTGTGTAATATTATCTTATTGAAGAACGCGTGGATGAAAAGAAGAGAGCAAAATGTATTTTGAATAACATAGGAATCGAACAAAGCTTAAAATTTAAATATAATAATTATTTTGTTCAAATTGAACATATATAATTATGTTATAAAAAAAAAAAAATAGGATTCATCAAATGACATTATTACTAAGTTTTGTATAATTAAAAGGAAGAGCACGGATTCAGATTTTTATACTTGCATTAAAACCTAACAAATATTATTTTGGTAAGATTAATGGCACAATCCAAGGCATACCATAGTGGTTGAGTATATAACAATACTTGTAAAAGGTCATAGGTTTGAAACTCTTTGACCCACATCCTTATTGAATTTTGGTAAAAATTGTAGAAAAAAATATTACACAAAAAGTTCCACGGTAAGGATTCAAAATCAAGACTTCAAACATATATATGTGAGTTCCAACCAATTGAGATACAAGATATGTCTGGAAATAGGTGAATTATGAGTAATATAATGTATAATTTTAATCTACAGCCAACCAAAAAAAAAATTCTCCCAGCGGATCCAGCATGCGCGGCTGTCGGTGCTCGCCGTGTGCTGGATCCGTGCCTGCTGACATGCTCGCGCCAAATGGAGGCTAGATAAACTTGAGGGTTTTGCTTTTCACTATATTATTAATAAAACACAAGGGAAAGTCGTTAACCGGGGCCACAGATGTTACAAAATTGAAGGTTGGTCTCTGAGGATGTCGAGACCTCGATTGGTATTTTTTCTCGAAGTTTTAACTCTCTAACTTACGGAAATTAAATCATTGTTACGTGTAGCTAGAAATGAATGAGGTCTTTAATAGATTTTAATAAAAGTTGATAAAATGTGTCATTGAAAATTGCAGGTCCTATGAGATGCATAGTTAAAACTTTCACTTAAATTTTTATAAATTTTTTAAGCCATACCAAACATGTATATTTTCTTTCACTCTTAACGCAATTACTGCAATATTACTATCAGGACAAAGAAAAATCTACCGATTCAAACACGAGAGTTTTGATGAAAAATGTGAAATCTCTTAAACGAAGTGGTTTAGTATAGAAAACTAAGTTCTTTGTTTTCTGTTATTTGCAGGAGGGAAAGGTAAACCAGAGTTGTTGATCAGCCAGGTTTAGGGCAATACATCTGAGATTACCGCCCAGTGACATTTTCTACTTATAATCGATTTTCAATTGGAGGATTGTCCTGCAGTTTTTATTGGCTTTTAATAAACTAAAAAAAAAAAAAAAAATGTAGTTAAAGGGCTATCGCTCTCTCCATAAATAAATCAAGAGCCAGTGGCTGTACGCATCTCTATCCTGTTTGATGATAATGTTTATGCATTGTTTCAAGTGAATTCTGAGCTGCTTGTGTTTGTTTTTTTCTTGAAAAATGAGTTTGTTGGAATTCCCCTCGTCATCTTTTATATTTATATAGGTATTGTTCTGAAATGTGGTATGTAGCGACATTCAAATAATAGTTTTATCAATATTCTTCTCTTTTTTATACAACGCGTAAATATCATTTCATAATTATTTCTAGTAATATTCATGAAACACGTGTATTATTAAGTGCGTTTACATGCTTATCATCGCTTATAAACTTGAAATTGAGCGGATTTTTGTTTAATTTAGTGTGAAAATATTGTCATCACAAGTAAAACTCGAACCTCGAGTTACTTGAAGCTAAAGGAAAGATTTTGAGCTTAACTGGAAATTGTTTGAAGCAGTTGAAGACTAACCAGATGATATGGGATTGATAGGAAGCATTAAAAGAGCAATTAGAGGAAACTCAGAAGTTTCAAGAATAAGGGTGTGTTTGTCACCCATTATTTGGGAAGAATGTATTATGAAATAGTGATTGATGTTGAAATGTGTGGTTAAAAAAGAAGGAAAAATTTTTAATTTACATGTAATATTATTTTAATGAAATATGTGTGGTTGAAAATGAGTACTATAAAAAAATATTGGGAAAGAATAGGAGAAAATGGATGACAAACAGGGGCTAAATTCAATTTATGAAAAGTATGGGGACTAATTTACACATTTTTCGAACTAGAGGAGGACCAACATGAAAACTGTTGAGTGTTGTGGAAGTAATATTGACAATTTGGTCTTCAATCCAAATTCGTAAAACTAACTTGCAAGTAGAGATCGAAATGCAAAAGAAGAAAATGCATATTCTTGGTGCAAGATGTTAACTTTTTTATTTCCATTTTTTTCTTTAATTTCAGTGGTGTATTCAAATATCTTCTTCTTGACTAATGATGTAACATAAATTTAAACCTTTAATATCAAGTAGTTAATTATTTTATATATTAATTTTACATCTTTTCATGATGGTTGAATTACTTGATTACCAATTCATGACTTGTGAATTGAACAAACTGAGATGTACGTTATAAATTTAGACCATGTGATAAAATAAATAATTAGATAATAGTATAGATATACTTTTATTATTGTTGTGGTCTTTAATTGAATTCTTAGATGATTTACTATGTTAATATTTATTGAGATTCACATAAAAATATGGTGAATTGATTTAACTAATTTGCATTGATTTGAACTCGAGGAATAAATTAATTTAATTAGTGAATTCGACAAAATACAACAATATTTTTAGTTTGGGTTATGTTCGCATACAACTATATTCCAACTATACTCATGAATTGTGATGATATCATGAGTATATGCCAGTAGTTTGAGACAAAGTATTCACGTTTTCAATAGTTTGCAATAGTTCATTCACTTATTTGTTTGGATTAGTTGGAGGATGAAATTGACATTATAGAATAGATGGAAGAAAAAATTGGTGGTAAAGAATAATTGGACGGAATTGACTCCATAGAATAGTTGGAGGAGGAAATGGACGGTACTGAATAGTTGAAAGACTAAATTGATGCTATTGAATAGATGAAGGATGAACTTGTAGCTAGTTACATATTTGGGGCCAGGATGACATTGTTGCTATTAAATAGTTGAAGGGGTGAATTTTAGGCTACTAAATAGTAAAAGGATGAATTTGATGCTATGCATAGTTGGAGTGCGAAACTGAAGCTATAGAATGTTTGAATGATGAAAGTGATGCTTTGAATAGTTAAAGAATGAAAGTGATGCTATTGAATAGTTAAAGGATGAAAATGATGCTTGTAAATAGTAGGAGATAGAAATGAAACTATTGAATGGTTCAAGGACAAAATCAATGCTGCTAAATAGTTGAAGGATGATTTGACACATAAGAATATTTGAACGACAAAATTGATGCTAGCAAATAGTTAGATGATGAAACTGATGGTGCTGAATAGTTGGAGAATGACATTGGTGTTTATCAATAGATGAAGGATGAAATTGATGACGTTGGATAGTGAAACCACGAAATTCATGATGGTCAATGGTTGGAGATGATAATGACGCTAATGAATGGTTAAGGGACAAAACGGATCCTTGTGAATAACAGGAGGATGAAAGTTATGAATCCTTATATTTTACATGGGAAATTGATGCATACGAATAGTTGAGAACATGAGTCATGCTTCTAAATAGTTCAAGGTAAAATTGATGCTAGTGAATAACTGGAGGACAAAAGTGATTCTTATGTATTTTTGAATGACGTAATTGATGCATATGAGTAGCCGAAGATGTGTTTGAAAACTTAATGGGCAAAATTTACGATTATGAATAGTTGGAGGATGGAATCAATGCTATTGAATAGTTAAAGGACAAAAGTATTACCTAGGAATAGTGTAAAGGCGAAATTGATACTTATGAGCGAAATTGATGCTTATGAGTAGTTGATGGATGAAATTGGTGCTATTTACTAGTTCAAGGATGCAAGTGATACTTTTTAATAGTCGACGGATGCAATTGATGCTTATATACAGTCATAGGATGAGATTAACTCTACTGAGTAGTTGGAGAGTGAAATTGACAAATATTGAAGAGTTGAAGGAGGAAATTATTGACTTGTTGTTGGAGGACAAAAGCTGAACACAAAGCCAAATTGTAGCCAAGCTCCACGGTGAATCCAAATCTAAAATAAAAGCAGCCCCCAGCAGTTAACTAAACCCAAATTTAAACCCAGCCCAATAGTAATGGAATCCGAGCCCAAAAGTGACCAAAGCCAAACTGAAGCCCATGAAATTGTGAACTCATACCCAAACTACAGCCCATGTGAGTGAACCCAAACTAAACTGAAGCGACGCCCAACAGATGAATCCAAATCTAAACTATAACGCAGCCCAACAGTTAACTAAAATCAAAATTTAAACCCAGCCAAGCCCCTGTATGATAGCAATTTTTCACCTCAAAAAACTAATTTTTTGTCCGTTATTTTACTATTCTAACTGTCATTTTGACTTCCTTACTCATAAGTAGAACTCACTTTTCTCTCTAACGATTAAAAAATCAAGAGGATATTACACTACTATAGGTATTTAAATATGAGAATTCTAAAATCAGATATTAAGTTTATTTGAGCATAAATCAGGTATAAATAAAACCTAGGATAATCTCTTTCCTCTCGCCTCTCACTCGCACTCTCTCTCTCTCTCTCTCTCTCTCTCTCTCTCTCTCTCTCTCAGAATTGTAGTCTCTTTCCTCTCTAAACATTGTAGTCTCTTTGCTCTCTTCTCTCACTCGCTCTCTCTCTTTTGTCTCTCACTCTACTATATTCTTGCAACACGTCATCGGAGCTCCGATGCAAGGTTGCGCACAACAACGTTCAAATCGAGGCGATCGTTTATAGGTTAGGGTATGGGATTATTCAGATCGCTGTCGCCTCTTATAGAGGCTCACCTTGAATCGAGGCGATTGCTTACGGATATGGGGTTATTCTGGGTTTTTTTTCTTCTATTTATTGTTGGTGTTATGGAAATGGTGGTGGTGGTGGATGTGGTTTTTGATGGTTTGTAGGTGATGATGGCAGTCGTTTAGGTATTAATAGAAGCAGTATTTCTTTTGTTAGTATTGTAGGCGGTAGTGGTTTTGTTGTTGCAGGCGATGGTCTTGATTTTGGTGGGCGTGAGATGAGGTGCTTGAAGTGGTGGTTGGAAGTGGTTTTTGTGAAGGTTTTGTGACAATTTTCTTGTGGTTTTTGTTATGTTTTGTCGTTGGTAATTTTCTTAGTTGTTGGGTTGCTAGTAGTGATTGTGGTGGAACATTAGCGATGGATCAATGTCCTCTGTTGGTGATGACAAAGGTGTGTAAGTCACAGTTTGAGTTTTTGTGACCAAATATCTTGAACATGTGACCTATCAAAGTACACGGGTCATATGTCAAAATGCTTAGGTTAGGGTCACAGATGCAGGAAATTTGGTCACGAACTATTGGATCGAGACACGGATCGAAGAGATTTGTTCACTTGCCATTGGATCAAGTCAAGATTACATATAACAGGGCACATTTCAAAGTGTATACTTCTCGGGTAACGGATTCAAGAGATTTGTTCACAGGCGGTTGAATCAAGTTGTAGGTCACACATAAGTTTACAGGTTACAAGCTACATATTCAAGATATTTGGTCACAAATCATTAGCTTAAGACATAGATCGAAGAGATTTGTTCACCTGCCATTGGATCAAGTCAAGGTCACATATAACAGGGCACATGTCAAAGCGTATACATCACGGGTAACGGATTCAAGAGATTTGTTCACAAGCTGTTGAATCATGTCGTAGGTCACACATCAAGTGCACATGTCACATATTCAAGAAATTTGGCCATAGACCATTGGCTTAGGTCACATATCACAAATCCAAGAGATTTGGTCACAAGCCATTAGATCAGACTATAGGTCACACGTCAAAGTGCACACGTCACCTGTCACAAATTCAAGAATCTAGTCGTATGCCATTGATTGCTCCAACCTTAGTTATCCAAACTGGTCACAAATTCAAATAACCAAATTTTGATGGTGAGAATTCAAATTATTTGCTCAGTTAATTGCTCTATAAATTACATGAGGAGCTATTTTTCAATTTTCAATTAAAAAAAGTTTTAGATTATACTATACTATTCAGTCCCAACACCAAAGAATTGATCATCACTCAGTGACGAAAACTAAGAACGATCAGTTTGTCGTTGAAGAAGTCGTCGACGAGGTGGAGGTTGGAGGGATGTCGAGGGCGGGTGGATGCCAATGAGTGGGATGGGGACGGTTAGGGTAGGCATGCGTTGATTAATTTAATTTGATAATATTATTATTTAAAACTAAAAAAAATGAAAATAAAAACCTGACTTTTGCATTTTGAAACTTAGTCTCTGAGATTTGATTTGGTGTATATTTAATAGTTGAGATATGATTTTTTCCCAAAAATCAATTCTCATAATCATTATCGAACAAACCCCAAATCTTAATCTTTTCGGAAAAGGTTTTGGAAAATAATCAAAATCCACCAATTTGGTGGGTTGAAAAATACGATAAAAACCTAATTGTCGGAACTTGTATCGAAAAAATTAAGCAATGATTTTTCCGACTTCCTACAAACGATATCACCCAAAATCTAAATTTTAATATAAGTTAAAGTCAACAATTAATTTTAATTACAAATTTTATGGGATCCACAACTTTTTAATCACATTTCTTTAACTTTTATCAAAATTTACTAAAAATCTAATATTAATCTCCACCAAACAAGAGCTAAATACCCATATCCAAATTGTCATTGAACCTCTCAAAATGTTCTCTCATCCATCACTTTCTCACTTTGTTGTTTTAGAAGTTAATGAATTTGATGACATAGCGATTGAAAGGACTAGTAGAATAACATTTTGGTAAGTTCATCAAGTCATTAATTTTTAAAACAATGAGTGACGAAATAAAAGATGAAATAATATTTTGATTCTTAGGCCAACTCGAATAAGTTATAGAGTTTTTGGTAATTGGAAAATGAACGGAAAAATTCAATGGCAACACGTAAACAATGTTGAAAAACATTTGAGAAAATTACTGACAATAAAAATATGTAACTCTTCTCCATTTGAACGTTTTTGAACTTTGTAATAGTCTATCTTGTAGTAAGAGATGTTGAAATCTTCATATGTTAAATATAACTTTCATATTTAAGTAATGTCCAATTGTATTCTTAATAATAATTCCACACGGCCATATATGTCCGTACAGACATGCCCCTCAAAAAACTTGATGCTAGCTGTAACTCTTAACTTACTCTTGACCCATGCTGAGGCTTGATAACTGTCTAAAAAGAGCCATGTCGAGCCAAGGGCAACCCAATTACACCTCTATGCCTTGCAAGCCACCACGCCACAATCCCTGTCAAGACCATGATCGGTTTCTCCAAACCTTACACACTTTCTCAAGTCTCAAAACAAATTTGATAAGCAAATGGTTAATGGGTTCATAAGCTAATGCGAGTTGATGTGACAACGATAAATATTTGATGGTAAACATCAAGGAGTGGCAGAGGTCAAGAGGACTGAGCCATGGTGAGTAGTAGAGTATGAATGCATGATTGTAACGTTAAAGTTTCGGAGCTTAATTATTGTCATTGTGCAAAAGCAGTACACAAATCTACATCCGTGATAAAAGTCGCCGTGGGGGTTAGAAAAGACACAAGAACCCCAACCAAAATTTCATTAAGAATAATTTAGGAATTGTGTCCATGTAATTTCTATTTTGCTCTAATTTATCTTATAAATAGTGGCATCATTAGATTTTTTTATCACCATCATAAAAGAGGGAGAAACTAGAGAAGATAGGTGTACAATTCTTCATGTAAATCTTTTCATCATAGTATATTATTACAGCGACGAAAATGGTGTATTCTCACATTGAATAAAGCTTCTGTAAATCTTGATTGTCTTTTATTATTATTATTATTATTAGCAAATTGATTGCTTTTGATGAAATAGAATTAAGATCTCTAATTTTCAAATCAGGATCACTAGAAGATTATACGAATACAGTTAAACAAAAAGGACCATGTTGTAGAGCCCTACCTCTAAGGGTACAATGACGGAGGAATAGCAAGTAAATTTGAAGCCATAAGATGAATTGTTCCTAACTGAAGGCTAGTTGATGCCTAATTCATCTACCTCTTTGAGGCATGTTTGGTATACAGTAGTAGTTGGATTATGACAGTAAAATAGATAAGATTTTAACTTTTTCTTTATGAATACTATTGAATACAGAACAAATTTTTGAAAATATCGACAAATTAAATTTAATCTACAAATTAAAAAATACCAGGTTATATACTGTGTAAGACAAATGTATTGGAGACACTTCTCCTGAAGGTGCCACTGTAGACAGGTCCACGATCAAGCTAGCTTAAGCCATGCTTTCGAAGGCAAGCTTTGGATCTAATATCAGCCTAACAACGAAAGAGAAAATAAGCTAAATAAAATTCGAGCAAGATTAAATTGCACATTTAGCACGAACAAGTAATCGAAATAATATACTCCTGTCACTGGAACAGTTTCAAGTTTCAACTGATGCTATCTACATTCCAAGTTGAAAGTATAAAGATAATGCTGAATACTGGAACATTTATTTTTCTTAAATCAAAAGGTGACCATTGTCCCCAAACAAGAATCAAACCACTTATGGCAAGATCTCTCAATTTGGTAGATCAACAAATAATATTTAAGAGCGATCAAGGTTTTCTTAAGGGTAATTATATTCACACCATAGTTTGTTACAATGCACCACATTTTAATTGCAATGAAACGTCTAACTTTTGCTCATTCTTGCACTTGCGTACTCAACTTTTTTCTTTGTATTTTGATCCTCAACCTTCTTTAATTAACACATTTTGTCCCTAATGATGGCCAAAAAATCCGTTACGAGTAAGAAGTCTTATTTGCCCCTCATTTTTTTTAATAAGCAAGATAAATAACAAATAAAAAAGTTCAACAAAATATACTCCCCACACTAACCGAATATCTGGACAGAAATCGATATCAAAGACAAGAGATAAGAATGGAAGGGAAAAAGTAGGGGATAAAAGTGCGAAAAAGAACAAAAAAACTGTAGGGTGAATATAATTACCCTTTGCTTAATGTATAATTGTCAGTTAAACTAATTATGGCCTTGTGCTTTGTCACAAAATCTATATTAGATCCATTAATCAATTGATGCATGCTACTAGCAAAATTTCAAAAGCACCAAGTATTACCTGCCTGATGGGCTCCGGGACACGAAATCTGCAACTCAATTTCACAATCTTGATGGCACTGGTAAGAGACACACGATGACCAACCGAAATAAATATGGGTTTCGAGGCGTCTTGAGTTGATCTCATTGCCTGCATAACTATAATATATGTTGGTACATATCTTCAATTGTTAAAATACAATAACTAAGGTTTAGCAATCTTCAGCTGTATTTTCAAATGCAAACTTTGAGATGAAATTTATTGAAGTAGCTCAAAGCACCAACTTTTATCATAGAATAAAGGAATCCAATATTTTAAATAAATATCAATACAAGCACGTACATATTACAGGAATCTTTATAATGTAAATTAGGAAGAGTAATAGTAGTAGTGTAAACAACTTGAGAACAAACTTGACCTAAAACCACTGGATATGAATGAATTTAAGTGTGTGTGTTTTACTTCATACATGTTTCTTAGCCCCCATTTGGTACTATTAAAATCCAGATTTTAATTAAAGTCAAAGTTAACAATTAATTTTAACCACATATTTCATGGGTCCCCAAACTTTTTAACCACACATTTATCAAATTTTATCAAAATCTATTAAAAATCTGATTTTAATTCTCACCAAATAGAGTAGAGTGAAATATGCGAACCTATGTACTTGACCCAAATAAATACGAGATAACAAGGCTTTGAGGTTAAACTAGTTTCACATGCGATATTTAGTTCATTATTGTTATTTAGACCCTTTTTCCACTTCCATTCAACTTGAAAGCACATAATTGTAGCTTAACAAAACAGAGAGAACTGTCTGGAATTATATTTCTATTCTTTCATTTTAAGAGAGAGAATTCATTTACTAAAACATAAACAAGGCTACAACGTATATATAATGCGAGACTACAATGTATACATGGCATTTCACTCTCAACTACAGCTAACTAGTAAAGCTGCATACATTTGGATTACTGCAAGAAAATAATTAAAAATTCTCACCGCTCCTAAAGTAGACCCTGAGTCCCCAATCAAAGTGAAGACATCTTTAGACGAGTTTCCCTCACCTGCAAGAAGTTGTCTCACTCTAGATTGGTTTAGACCATCAACATGGTGTAACTGAAATGTATTACCAGAGAACATGCTGTTAACTTCTGGCACATTATGACTGACACACAGAGAGAGAATAATTTTTAAAAATTAACGTCCAACAAAATAATATCATAGGGGTGTTTGAGAGCCATTTTTATGTTAAAATGCATTTTAGAATAAATTGATGGGAGATGTATGGTTGAAAAATGAGGAAAAGTTTTTGATTTACGTGTAATATTATTTTAATAAAAAAATGTGTGGTTGAAAAGAAGAAAGAGAAAAATGCATTTTGAAAAAAAGGAGTACCAAACGGGGCCATAATCTTAAAACTTACATTCTTTCCTATCCCAACAGTAGGAATATTAGCTAGAACACCAAGATGACAAGCTAATCCCATGCCTGCACAAGTCTCCAAGTTTAGATTGAAATGAAAAGCAGAGTGAATTAACAAGTTGTGCACAAAAATTAAAGACCAAAGCACAGTCAAAGCAGTAAGCAGAATAGTACTAATGATGGTTTAAACTCGTCAAAAACAAAAGCAGGCTCTTCAAGATCTCTCTTACCAACTACAGCAAAAGAGAAGCAGCAGAAATATCCTGACAGCATTATATAAAATTGATCTTTTTTTGTTTTCGTTCCCAGCAATAAGATTTAAGGAAATAGAGCACAAATGCAATCCTAATGGATTAGTTTAATTTTGCAGGCACAAGTTTTACCAATCTAGACCTTCAAATTAAGATTTTTCAACTTTTGGATCTTTTTCCCCCTTTTGGTCATTATATCAATTAATAGCTAGCTTCTATTTAGGTACGGTGAAATTATTGTTAATCAATTAGTTTTAACATGATAATAATGCAGCTAATAAACAATACAAGCAAGGGCTATACATGTAAGCCAAACAAATATACACTTACACGTCCTTGGAATAGTAAGTTTACATAGGCCTTTCACAGTTTTAGTTTATTTCTACATATTTATACCTTAGTATCCATAAAGTTTTCACACCACTTAAAACCTATTCTTAAATTAAAAAAATAAATAAAATAAAATGAGAACCATACCTATGTTTGGGTTTCATTCTAATTTTAATACATTTTTTTCTTTCTTCTTTTCAACCACACATTCTTCAATAAAATAATATTAGGGACGTGTCTGGTAGTGATTTTCCAACATGTGAACCCAAAATTTTTCCTTCTTTTTTAACTATGCATTTTTCAAAAAATTACTATTCCAAAATACATTTTTTCTCAAAACCTCATTAAAATGGAATCCAAACATGGGCTATATGGACACTATAATAAGAGCACATAGAAAAATTACTTGAGGTTGTCTAGCAAACTCACATTTTGTATATTCTTTCTTAAAAACAACATATAAGCTGCCCAATAACGGGTGAAAAGGTTTCTTTAAATAAGATGGAGCTACAAACATAGGCCACTCACTGTGATAATGCTAGCGGAAGTCATTGGTTAACATGATAATAGGTAGAGAGGACAGACATGATAACATTTATTGAATATTTGGAGATGAACTAAAAGTATTCTAATCAATAATTCTTTCCCTATCACCATGCACATTAGCAGCATCCAAAGAAGTCTTTATCCACTTCCAGTAACAAATAGAAGAATAAAAACATCATTCACTAAGAATCATAAACAATATGATGCTCTAAAAGCAAGCCACAATATAACAGTTCCAGCAAGTACCAGTGAAAGGTAATGGAAGAAAGTAGCAATTTTCATGAAATAAGATTGGGATTTTTTTAAAATGAACTAAATAAACAAAGAGTTCAGGAGCTGTTTCAAGGAGGAATTTAACCATAATGCATCACTTATTATCTTTTCTTAAACATTGAAAAATAAAAGACTTGCCTCGAGGATGAAGTATTCCGTTGCCGTCAACCATCAATATCTGTCAAAGTAATTGACTTAAAGGATATAAGCGTCAATTAAATTTTGAAAAGGATTAGAGACGGATAGTATTTGAACATTTTACAAAAAACACACCGAGAACCCACCCATGCATCTTAAAATAAAATACTCCAGAAACTCTTGTTTCAGGAAAAAGAAATGCAGTGTGAATTTGGCAGTCTCTTATAAGTTTTTTTAATTTGTTCGTTGATAAACAATTTACATAAGAGAATCAAATAAATTTCATCAGTATACTTTCACATTGTAGTGAAAATTTGGCAGAGTCAAATACATTTGTCTTTTAAAGTTTTTAAATTTGTTTCTTGATAGATAATTTCACATAATTAATCAAATAAATTTTATCAGACTTCCACGTTAATGTTATCTCACAATATAAAAGAAAAATATTTAATACTAGTATTAAAAAGGTTATCACCTGAGAATAGAATGGAAGAGATCCCTTCTTCATTTTCTCGAGAAGTTCTAGAAGAACTGGGGCCTGCAAAATAGATAAACATTCAGAGTTTGTACTATATATACAACAAAATCCAGAACCATATGAAGAAGCGCATAGTTAATCCTCAACAATTTACAGGTAAAAATAGTTCTTTACCAAGAAAAAGGAAATCCATTGCTTACCTAGAACATATTCTGCGCAAAACTTATTGTGATACAAATACAAACGGGAAATCTCAAATGAAAGGACAAAAGCCAACATGCAGGGAAATTGTTCAATTTTCATCATCCCAGAGTGAAAACCATGCTTCTTCTGATAACGTTATGCTCCAAAGGCTCGAAATTTCGTAAAATCTAAGAATTAGTGTTTTTTTATAAGTAAAAAAATGTAAAGGAGTGTGAATAAGATCTCTCTGAAGACAAATATCTTGTCCTCTATACTCCAAAACTTGTGCCTTTTTCTCACGATTACATTATGTAAAAGGAATAATATATTATGGGGCACTTGGAAACAGAAAAATCTCAACTGCAGCAATTATGAGTTGTGTGCTATGCTAAAAAAAAATGCAGTTTTCCCACTATCCAAAGAATTGATAATCATATAAAGAAAAAAGTTAAAATGGTACAGGGATAAAGCTCTCCTAAGGCAAGAGCCAGAAATAGAGAATGGAGCATGAAATTTATGTGTTTTCTTATAATATCAAGAATTATTCATCCAACAAACTCACCCAAAAAATTCTCATCCCATACATGAGATAACCTATTCTTCTAGCCACGAACAAAACTCTAACTCTTATTAAGCCCACTGTTAAAGCTAATCAAGTGTTATTCTCTTCATGAAAAAGGTGCGTTACTATCAGATCGCTCGCTAAGGAAAATTCTAAAATCGGCACTCAAAGATCAGTTTTTATCTGCAATACCAAATCAGCAATATATCATGCCAACATCCCCGTGATCCTTTCCTAAAAGTCCATTAAGTCTCACATGAAAATTTTCTGTCCAAGTGTATTTCTTAATCCAGTTCTCAAAACCCAGTTTTGTATATAATCCATCCATATCCTCACAAAGTTGCACCTACAAGAATTATCCTAATCATATTTCGTTGCATAGGCACTTAAAACATTAACTATGCATCTTGCACTACAAATCCAAACGAATAAATCCTTGTCTTAGTTATGGAAACTAGTGTCCTTTAAGGTCCTCATGTACCGTAATACCACCATTTCGTTGTCCACCTATCCTTATACTCCATAATCCTCGCCTCTATTTCAAGGCATATCAATACGAATAATGCAGGTATAATTTATATGCAACCTATTATCTCTTCCTTGCTTTCTATCCTACCTGCGCTTTAACTCAAGCACAAAGCATTAATCTTCTACCTATCAAATTGTGTACTGATAAGTCTCACACAAGGCAATAAAGTATTGTAATCTATACGCCAGAGGTCGTACATCTAAATATCTCGACAAAATGATATAAATTTACGAATAAAAATTGAAAGGAAAAATTCATGAACAGGACCTCTCTGAAGGCCAAGAAACCAGGTATATACGGAGTATGCAGCTTAACAATGGAAAAATCTTCATATACAACTTGAAGAGTATTGAGGTCCAAAACCACAAGGGTGGCGCATGCAATAGATGGATCGGCTTTTGAAAAGCTCAAGTCAACTCCGCCCACGTACTTCAGGATTGCACCACAGGAATCTGAATTTTCTGTTTTTTCTTCAAGATTTTGTACTTCAGTTGTGGGTATTTTCCAATTGAAATCATCTTCTATTTTCATCTTTTTCTTGAGTGAATCTTGGATCCTAAATCAAAATCGAGCACCATGAGGGGAAAAAAATTGGGTTTCGAGTTCCTAAGCAAGTGTAAAAGAAAGCAATAAAAATAATGAAATTTTATGCAGTTACTCAATCCATTTGTCTTGAAGATCAGTAGAGCAGCGAGTTTCCAGAGCAGGCTCTTTTTCCATCGATCTTTGTTGAAAGAAGACAAAATGGATCGTAAATGGCGAGTAGCCCTTTTGGATTCTGGTTCCACACACTTCCGAGTTAGGCCGACCCACATTATTGGAATAAAAATACATTTTTGAATATCGTATTAATTGGACATGTGTGTTTAAAAAATAAGAAAAATTTTAAATTTACGTATAATATTATTTTATTAAAAAATATGTGATTAAAACGATATCAAATTACTGTTGAAAAATGTATTTTTTTT